TATGAAGCACTATATCACCAAACAATGACTAGGGCTATAACCTATTCTGACCCTAGAGTTTATAGTTCATCGTTAAAAATTTTCCAGGCAAATCAATCTGAAGAAAAAAAAGCATTATTTGAGGATCTCTGAATCAGAAAACCAAGAATCTAACCATAATTTTGATTTTTGTAAGCATTATCCTTTATTTTGAAATATATTAGATGGTATTTAAACTGTCTTTGGTAAGAACAAGGGTTAAAGTCAGGTCCCTGAGCACTGCACAAAAGGAGAAAACAACTCAACAACGGGAAACGAGGTCACCTAATGGATCCTTGTCTTGGTTTCATCATCTTAAAAGTACAGACAAAAATACCTATCCATTGCAAAAGATTTTTTCCTTTTCAGTGGCCCCATTTCTATAACTAAAACTACGCTCATTTATTACCTAGGAGATTATAAATCTCTTAAGAGCCAGGATAAAAACAGGGTTTGGAGCCGTGGAGTCAGACTGCCTGAGTTTTCTGCTCTGCCACTTATTAGATGCAATAAATGGGCATAATGTAAACTTTTAAAGTTTCATTTGCAACCTTCAAAATGGGATCATTACAGTATCTACCGGGCTGCAATAAAAATTAAATGAGATAATACACGTAAAATGTTTAGCACAGAAACCGGCTCATGAGAAGCATTCTGTAAATGCCAGCTATTGTTAAAGGGACCCTTCATCTTTGGCTTCTCTTGTTCCTTCAATCCCCATATCTAATCTATCACCAAACTCTGTCAATTCTTTTATTTATATATATAAAATTTCAGTCATTTTGCTAAAACAAAACAAAACAAAACAAAAACTGGGGAGCCTGTAATCCTAGCACTTTAGGAGGCCAAGGTGCACAGACTGCCTGAGCTCAGGAGTTCGAGACCGGCCTGGGCAACGTGGTAAGACCCCATCTCTACTAAAAGAAGAAAAAATCAGCCAAGGGTTGTGGCACATACCTGTAATCCCAGCTACTCGGGAGGCTGAGGCATGAGAATCATTTTAACCCAGGAGGCGGAGATTACAGTGAGCCAAGATAGTGCCACTTCACTCTAGCCTGTATGACAGAGCAAGACTCTGTCTCCAAACAAACAAACTGGGAACATCCCAAAGTCCATCCTTGGGTGGTGACTGAATAAATTTTATCAGGGTACCTCCAGATACTAGAATACTATGTACCATATACAGTATGTACTATGAACATATAAATATAATCATCGCTTAGTTATCCGTGAGGGAGTGGTTCCAGGACTCCCTGCCGATACCAAAATCCAGGGATGGGCAAGTCCCTTTTATAAATTGGGGTAATATTTGCATATAGCCTATGCATGTCCTCCTATATATTTTAAATTATCTCTAGATTATTTATAATATTCAATACAATGTAAATGCTATGCAAATAGTTGGGGTTTTTGTTGTTTTTGTTTGTTTGTTTTTTTAGATGGAGTCTTTCTCTGTCACCTAGGCTAGAGTGCAGGGGTACGATCTCCAGCTCACTGCAACCTCCACCTCCCTCAAGCGATTCTACTGCCTCAGCCTCCTGAGTAGCTGGGATTACCGATGCCTGCCACTTCGCCCGGCTAATTTTTGTATTTTTAGTAGAGACAAGGTTTCACCATCTTGGCCAGGCTGGTCTTGAACTCCTGACCTCATGGTCTACCGGCCTCAGCCTCCCAAAGTGCTGGGATTACAGGTGTGAGCCACCTCGCCCGGCCTATAAATAGTTGTTATACTATACTATTAGGGAATATAAAGACATGAAAAATAGTCTCTGTACATGTTTAGTACAGATTCAACCATCCATTTATTTCCCAAATATTTCTGATCTGTGGTTGATTGAATCCACAGATGTGAAAGCCATGATACAGAAGGCCAACTCTATAGAAAGATACTCAAGATTCACACGAGTATTCTGTTAAATGAAAACAACCAGTTGCCAAAGAGGATGTCTAAATTTATCTCATTTGGTTAAAAACATGTAAAAAGATTCTCAGGCTCACAAGTAATCAGAGAAAAGTAATTTAAATCTATAATAAGACAGGATTTTAGAACCCATCAGAATGGCAAAGGTTAAAAAGACTGAGTAATTCTGAGGACTGGTAACTTGCAGGCACTTATGGGTGAAGTTGAAGATGTCCAGTCTCCCATGAACCAGCAATTCCGCTCCTGAGAACTTATACCCTAAGGAGACTCCTGCCTGCACACCCAAGGAAGCATACGGGGACGTGCACAGAGCACTGTCTGAAATAACAGAAACTGGAAAAACCCTAAATATTCATCAATATTCAACCAAAACCATGTCTTAGTTCAAAAGCATAACTGTAAAATGCCAAAAACATCATGTTGACTGAATAAAAAGGGCATCATACATCCATAAATAGATATATATTTATCTACTAATTATAGATTACCTATGAAATAAATGAATGGAAGATTGGTGAGAAGGATGCATACTCATGTAAGAGTATGTATTGATTACCTCTGAAGGGGAAGGAAGGGGAATGAGTTTGAGAAGGGGCTACAAGGAAACTTTATCTGTAATAAAGTATGAATTTTAAAAATATGTCTGAAACAAATATGGCAATAAGGGTCATACTGTATTTTTCTCTGTAATTTTCTATAGGGTAGAATTTTTTCATAATTTAAAAATAAACAGCATGAGTAACAAGACAAGGACATCCTCCAAGCACTATAACCTTAGACAAGTTTCTTCATCTCTGCTAGCCTCATTTTCCTTATCTGCGAAATAGGAAAAGCAGCATCTTCCCTACCAGATTGCGATGGAGAATTGAGTGAAACTAAGACAGGCTTTTAAAAAGTGATATCACTGTTATTACTGTCTATCCATCCAGTAGTCTCTTTCCCCATTGTGTGTTTACTCCCTCATTCAAAACGCACCAACTTACAGAATAATCTTCCTTAAACACTGCTGCATCTCACCACCCTCCCCAAGAACCTGTATTCTCTCTGCCTGGCTTTCCCAACTCAGTCCAGTCAAGGGTGTCTGTCTCTCTGAAGCTGTCCTGCATGCCTCTTCTGCCTCCAGCACCTTGGTGACAGCTCTTATCACTTTTACTGTGACATATCACTAAAAAATACTTATGAGACTGATTCAACTAGATATCCCCAGGGGAAAAAAGGGAGGGGAAGATGAAAGGAAGGCAGAAAAAGAAAGATAAGAAAGAAAAAACTCAGGACTGGTCTCTACTTCTGTCTCCCACATGATCCCTGGCAGTGACTGTATCTAGAGGACAAGTCATTTGAGTTGTATAAGACTCAATATCCTCATCTGTGGTAGGATGGTTATACTTCAAGACCTGAAAATTCGTCTTCCAATACTATAAGCACATTTTTAAGGCCCCTATAATCAGATCCATACTCAGTCTACTTTCCCTACACTCAAAACAAATCCTCTGCAATCCAGCTGGGCTCCCTAATGTGCCACAAACATGTCACTCTCATTCTGTTCTATAATCCAGATCTTAGCTTGTTTTCAAGACTCTGCCTAAACTTTAAATATATTTCAATAAACTTTAAATATATTTCAGCCCGAATTAAAAGAAAAAATCAGCCAGGCACAGTGGCTTACTCCTGTAATTCCAGCACTTTGGGAGGCCAAGGTAGACAGATCACAAGGTCAAAAGATTGAGACCATCCAGGCCAACATGGTGAACCCCATCTCTACTAAAAATGCAAAAATTAGCTGGGCATGGTGGCATTCGCCTGTAGATTCAGCTACTCGGGAGGCTGAGGCAGGAGAATCACTTGAACCTGGGAGGCAGAGGGTGCAGTGAGCCAAGATGGAGCCACTGCGCTACAGCCTGGTGACAGAGCAAGACTCCATCACCCTCCCATCAAAAAAAAATCTAACACAATATAATTTATAAGGAGCCAGTCACTATTCTAGACACTTTATATATATTTAGTTTAGCCTCATAATAACTGGTTAACTATTGTTATTATCCCATTTTTACTGATGAAGAAACTGAGGCACTGAAACATTAATCGGACTTGGCTAAGGTTATACAGCTAGTAAGTGGCAGAGCTGCTATTTGAACCCAGATGGTCTGCTTCAGACGCTACGCACTTCACCGCACACTAAAACTTCCTCTTGCCTTCTTCTGTGCTCTCTCATATCATTAGTGCCTCAATTGTAACAAAGTAATATCACCACATCATTTTATAATCCCTTACATTTTTTGGTAGCTTATAGCACAAAGTCAAATCTCATAAATTCTGGTTATTAGATTAAATCTTTATATGATCATACAAGCCCTGGGAGGTAGACCTCTACTAGCTCTGAATGGGCCAGGTAAGATTCTACCCCCAATTATTTGTACTTTATTGACATTCATAGCAATCCTGTGAGATAGGAAGGTCAGGTAATTTGTCAGATGAGGAAAAGTGAGCCAAAAAAAGAATTAAGTGGGTCAGGCATGGTGGCTTGTGCCTGCAATCCTAGCACTTTGGGAGGCTGAAGTGGGAGGACTGCTTGAGGCTAGGAGTTCAAGACCAACCTGGCCAACATAGTGAGATCCCATCTCTATTATAAACATTCAATACTATATAAATGTTTTTAAGTGAAAAAAAAAGTTAAGTGACTGATTCCAAATTATACACTCAACAGCAGCACCTACACCAAATCAAGACCAACTGACTCCAAATCCTTTTCTCTACCAGGCTTCTGGAATTTTTCCCAGGTGAGATCCTAGTGTGGAGACACTTGAATATGGACAGGAGATAAATGGTATGAGAAATGAAAATGCCCTTATTAATACCCATTGCACTTATTAATTAAGAAAAATCTGAAGATGGAAAAAACCTGGTGCACCAGCTATCCTTGGCTGCTTAGAGAACTGTCTCACACACATCGCAAGGCGCTCATTACAGCAGCTTGCCCTTACTCTCATTTGAAATGATACCAGCAATTATTTAATAATACATTTTACAGCCCATTATTATCTTACACAAGCCAATTCCTTACCTGTTATTGGTGCTCTTGTCCCAGCTATGGTGGTTTTGCTCCCGAGCCATCTGAGCTGCTTTTGTGCTTGCTTCCTCTTCCGCCTCATGCAGGCTTTCCCGTAGAGGGCTTTCCTCGTCTAAGCTGTCGGGCTCCATATCGTTATCCTGGATTTGATCATCAAACTCAAGCTGGGACATAATGGCTTGAGTGGAGCTTTCTGAATCCGATTCCAAGGAGTCTTTTGAAATCTGACATAAGTCTTCTTTCTTAAAAGGTGGGTGTGTGGACTGAACATTTAAGTTGGTATGACGGACAGGAGATTGAATAGAGAGCTTGGGAATTAGTTTACTTTTACTCATCTTGAAAAATGCAAAAAATTAATAGGGGATACTCTTGATAGGAGCAGCTGGCTGATATCGAAAGTTGTAGTTTGTAAAGGCATTACCTGAAAAAAATTACATTTATGTTACTCTGCGACTACTGAAATCTCATTAATGTCAATGTTAATCAAATATTTAAATCAGTAAGAGAAACTTGTTCTATTATCTTCAGGCTTTTGTATGTACCTTTTGTGTGTCTAAGAAAGTTCTATTAGAAAAATAATTGTTTTTCTCTCTACAGAAACACATCTGATGTAGAGCTCATAAGCAGCCTGAGTAATCTAATGCAGTTTTATTGATGAAATAAATGGCTGCTTGGAAGCAGGTTCCTATTTCTAGCTTCCAAGCGCTTGTTATAGACAAGCCTGGACTAAGACAAATTATGGACAGTACTTTGATGGCCTTATTTCAAATGCCCAGAGCGACAATATAAATATGCCCAGTAGTATTTGTGGATAGATTAAAACAGGTTCAGGGGCTCCCTTTTGAAAAGTAAAGGTAGAAGAAAGAAGAATGTGGTTTTCCATAGTTGGAACTGTAAATAGGAAAGCTATTTTTTTCCTAGACCTATTTTGGCTGGCAACATCATTTGGAAAAGACTTTCTGATGTCCAGGTTGTGGCTAGATAGGAACATATAATTTAGGTGGCCGTAAATGGAGATCAACCTCATGCAGTATTTTTTAAAACCCATAATAATGATTAAAACTGTTCAACAATCACACCTGTAATACCAGCACTTTGGGAGGCCGAGGTGGGCAGATCACTTAAGTCCAGGAGCTCAAGACCAGCCTGGGCAACATGGCAAAATCCCATCTCTACAAAAAATAAATAAATAAATAAATAAATAAAATTAGTGGGCATAGTAGGACAGGCCTGTAGTCCCAGCTATTTGGGAGGCTGCAGTGGGAGGATCACTGGAGCTGGGCAGGCAGAGGCTGCAGTGAGCTGAGACTGTGCCACTGCACTCCAGCCTGGGAAACAGAGCAAGACCCTATCAGAAAAAAATAAATAAAACTGTTCAACAAAAGATTTAGTGGTCTTGTGAATTCTGCCACTGAGCAATTCAAAGCAGAGGCTGGAGGTCTACATTCCCGAAGGGGATGCTACCCTGGGGAAAGCTGAGTGGGTGGGAGATTGGCCAGAATTACAGCTGGGAGTTAGCTGGAGTCCCTTCCAACTCACTTATGAGTATGAGTCAAGCGAACCTTCACTGTCTCTAAGGGTCATTATAAAGACCTATTGAAAGGGTTCTTTGAGTTCACGTAGGACTGAAAGGACACGATGCTTTTGGATTGTGCTTCCTTTCATCTCTACCTGGCATTTCTATTTTGGCCTACCTTCTATCTTATTGCCTTTATAACCCCCCCATCCCCCACTTTTTTATTTCTGTGAGTCAGGTAACAGAAATCTTTACCATTAGAAATTACTGTTAAGATTTGTCTTAATGGCTTGCTCTTGTTCGTTTGGCAAATCCTAACTTTAATTAAATGACACAACCTTTTAACTATTCCTAGGATTGCTTATAATGTTGACCTTGCTGCTAATGTTTCCAAGGAACGTCATCAACTCCTTGGAGGATAGCACCTTAGCAAACAACAGGCAACAGGTGACCAGATGTAAATACACATGAAGTGAGTCTTCTATTTAACTCGGTCTGCCCTGTTGCTAAACTAACATATTATTCTCTAATTTTACAGACTGGTTTGTTGTATTATTTTGTCTCTTATTTTTAAAATACATATTACATTCTGCCTGATTATTTCAATTGTTGCTTTTTAGGACGTGCCAAGAAAGCAGCAAATCTATCAAATACTAACATGTTTTAACTAAAAGAGTTTGTACAAACACTGGTTTTAGTGGAAGAGCTAAGGTCACCGAATTTGAGATCTTGAAGAGCAAGGTTAAGCGTTATAGTGCAACTTAGAATTACTCTTAAAATAATTCAGTCCCTTGAATTTCTCTTCTTAAATGAAATAGACGAAGCTTTCTTAGAATGAATAAATAATAAAACATTAACCATAGAAGATAATTTTGTTGATGTTAGCAGATTCCTGAAGTTTGCTAAAGTATGCAAAAGCAAAGCCAAATGCCACAAAAGCAGGGTTTTCTGTGGAGGCCTGATCTTAGGAAAACATGAGGTTGAAGAAGGAACAGCTGACAGCTTGAATAAGTTAGAAAGTGGGCATTTAAATTTAATGAATGTGGCTCCCTCCTCCCGTGCAGTGAAAAAAAAAAAAGGGTTGTGTCCCTGAAATTTCTGACCAAGAGAGGAAACTGGTCTCCTGAATAAACAAGACGGGGATAGATCAGATGGCACCTAGGGACTAAGAAGTGGCCAGCTCCCCAGGGATCCCTGTAACGAGTCTAGTCCACGAGTATGGGACAAACGAGCTTTCTCCTGGAGGGGAAAAGAAACCCTGCTTGGGCTCACCAAGGTGAATCGTGGCTCACGCCTGTAATCCCAGCACTTTGGGAGGCCGAGGCGGGCGGATCACGAGGTCAAGAGATCGAGACCATCCTGGTCAACACGGTGAAACCCCGTCTCTACTAAAAATACAAAAAATTAGCTGGGCATGGTGGCGCGTGCCTGTAATCCCAGCTACTCAGGAGGCTGAGGTAGGAGAATTGCCTGAACCCAGGAGGCGGAGGTTGCGGTGAGCCGAGATCGCGCCATCACACTCCAGCCTGGGTAACAAGAGCGAAACGCCGTCTCAAAAAAAAAAGAAAAGAAAAGAAAAGAAAAAAGAACCCTGGTTTGAAACAGGCCGGAAGCCGCCCAGTGGAGGCGTTGGGTTTGTTTTCTAGCTTTGCTTGTTCCTGAGGGACACGACCCGCCACAAGGGGCGTCCGGAGGTCCCGGAAGTGACAGGCCGGTGGGCCTGGTGCCCGGGGCCGGTCCCGACTGGCCGGGAGCAGGACGGCTCTGGGAGCCCGGACCCCGAATCCTGAGATCGCCGTCTCCCGGCCCCTTGGCGCAGCCTCGCCCCGTCGTCGCTCCCGACTCCGTCCCGAAGGCTCTCGCGCCGGCTCGTCCCCAGCTTGCTCGGGTGGTTTCCCGTCCTCCCCCACCCTAGTCAGCCCTTCGTGTTTCCCTCCCCGGGCGCGCCGCCCACCCCGGATCCGAGAGGCCGCCCCCGTCACCTGCCCGGCGCTCCTCGGCGGCCCCGCATCCTCCCGCGCCGCCGCCGCTCAGGCCCCCGCCCGCCCCCGCGCTGCCCTGGAGACCGCGGGCAACACGGACGCCTGCGCCGCGGGGGCGGGGCGGGACCCCACCGAGGACCCCGCGTCCCGAACGGCGCCCCTGGCCCTGGCCCGGAGCTGCAAACCGCCGCGATCACGACGTCGGGGCAGAGCCGAAGGAGCCCGGGCGCCCCCGGAGAGGCTCCCTCGCCGCCTGGACTTCCCAGCGCCGGAGGGCAGAGGCCGCCCGGGGGTTTTATTGGCCACAAATAAAACTGCTAGGATACGCGAGGAACTCCTACAAATCAAGAAGAAAGGCCGGGCGCGGTGGCTCAAGCTTGTAATCCCAGCACTTTGGGAGGCCGAGGTGGGTGGATCACGAGGTTAAGAGATCGAGACCATCCTGGTCAACTTGGTGAAACCCCGTCTCTACTAAAAATACAAAAAATTAGCTGGGCATGGTGGCGCGTGCCTGTAATCCCAGCTACTCAGGAGGCTGAGGCAGGAGAATTGCCTGAACCCAGGAGGTGGAGGTTGCGGTGAGCCAGGATCGCGCCATTGCACTCCAGCCTGGGTAACAAGAGCGAAACTCCGTCTCATTAAAAAAAAAAAAAAGAAGAAGAAGAAGAAGAAAAGGAATCCTATTAAAGAATGGGTAGATGGAAAGGTATTTCACAAACACCAGAGAAATCTAAATGGCCCATATCTGTGTATTGAAATGGTGCTTTAATTCATTGATAATCAAAAGATGGCCAATTAAAACCACAACGGATAATACCACACTTACAGTAAGTTGAGTCGAAAAGGTCTAAGTTGAAACGTCTGGCACCGTCCAGGTGCTGGGGAGGATATAGGGCGAAGAACCCTCACCTTCTGCTGGCGGGAGTGAGAAACGATGCAACCAAACATTTTGGAAAATGGGTTGACCTTGGCCAGGATATGTATACCTGGGGATCCAGCAGTTTCACTTTTAGGTATTTACCCTAAGAAGTGCGTGCTCCTGTGCATACAAACTGGAAATAACTGAACTATCTGTCAACAATAGAATGGTTAATTAGATTATGGTATTTCCTATACTGGCATACTACACAGCAATGAGAATGAATGAAATACAACTACGTGTAACTATATGGAAGCATACTAAGAATACGATTTTGAACAACAACGAAGACCCAGAAAAAATACATACTGTATGATTTTTGTATATAAATTAAAGACAGGCTACGTGTCTTAAGCATACTTAGTGGAGGAAACTATGAAAAAAAGCAAAAAAGCAATTTTATGGGAATCACTACCCGCTTAGTGATTTCCATGAAGTTATGAGCATTGTGGTGAGTTCTGGCAGGTAGGGAGGACAACGCTTTTGAGATTGTATTTCCTGACCTTAATGGTCGTTATACAGATACTTATCTTGTAAAAGTTTATTATGCTGAACATTTATGTATGGGTGGAATATTTCACTATCAAAAAAAGGTTTCAAAAAGAATTTAAAAAGGAAGCATTAGGAATTATGTTCGCATTAAAACAACAAGTAGATTTGAGTAACTGTCTTCAGATTGCTTCAAGGTCAGGTGCAGTGGCTCACCCTGTAATTCCAGCATTTTGGGAAACTGAGCCAGAGGATTGCTTGAGCCCAAGAATTCAAGACCAGCCTGGGCCACATGGCAAAACCTTGCCTCTACAAAAAATTTTTAAAATTAGTTGAGTGTGGTGGCACGTGCCTGTAGTCCCAGGTACTTGGAAGGCTGAGGTGGCAGGATCATCAGAGCCCAGGAGGTTGAGGCTGCAGTGAACCAAGATTATGCCACTGCACTCCAGCCTGGGTGAGAATGAGACCTTGTCTCAAAAAAGAAAAGAAAAGAAAAAGAATGCTCCAGCAGGGCACGGTGGCTCATGCCTGTAATCCCCGCACTTCGGGAGGCCAGGATGGGTGGATCACCTGAGGTCAGGAGTTGGAGACCAGCCTGGCCAACATGGTGAAACCCCATCTCTACTAAAAGTATAAAAATTAGCCAGGCATGGTGGCACACACCTGTAGTCCCAGCTTCTCAGGAGGTTGAAGCAGGATAATTGCTTGAACCTGGGAGGTGGAGATTGCAGTGAGCTGGGATCACACCACTGCACTCCAGCCTAGGTGACAGAGTGAGACAAAATAGTTTTAAAAAAAGGAAAAAAGAGGCCGGGCACGGTGGCTCACGCCTGTAATCCCAGCACTTTGGGAGGCTGAGGCGGGTGGATCACGAGGTCAAGAGATCGAGACCATCCTGGTCCACATGGTGAAACCCCGTCTCTACTAAAAATACAAAAAATTAGCTGGGCATGGTGGCGCATGCCTGTAATCCCAGCTACTCAGGAGGCTGAGGCAGGAGAATTGCCTGAACCCAGGAGGCGGAGGTTGCCATGAGCCGAGATCGAGCCATTGCACTCCAGCCTGGGTAACAAGAGCGAAACTCCGTCTCAAAAAAAAAAAAAAAAAAAAAAAAAGGAAAAAAGGAAAAAAGAGTGCTTCAATATCAGTTGCCTCATTAATGATAGGAAACATGGGAAATTGGAAAATGTCTTTACTACCCAGCTTTAGCAGTTTTTATTTTAGTTTTTTTTTTTTTTTTTAACTTTTTTTTTGGCATCAGGGACCTTGTCTTATGAGTGCACAGTAGGATCTCAATGTCTGTAGAGGAAATAAAAGCAAGGTAGCTGAAACCATTAGTGTTACTCAGGCCAGTGTATTACGCAAATTATTATTATAGCAACTGCAAACATGCAAGCAAATTTCAAGCAGAAGAATTTAGTCCTAATAGCAGCTTCCAGAATATGTTATAGAATCAGCACTGAGTCATTCACACTTGTCCACTTTCTCATGTACTGGTCAATGGAAATGATGCTGTAGTTCTTCAGACTCTTCAAGTGCTTTCTCACTATCCAGAAACAACATAAACTGGCTTTTCTGAAAACTAGTGGTCTCTACGTGATTCAGGAGTCTGTCAATCTAGCAGCTACTTGCAGAGACTAGTCACACTTAAAGCGTGGGACACTCTGGGCTTGGTCTTCCTCCTTCCCCCCTTGTAATGGCTATCCTGAGTATTCTTATTGGAGTGACTAAAGGTTAGAATAATAAACACGAATGGTAGCCAGTGTCAGTAAGGAGACAGAAACCATGCCAGTTATTAAAATGGAAATAATTTAAATGAATATTTATTAACTGAAAAGTTGAAAAGGGAACACAAGTATCATAAGGGTAGTAAGTACAAGAAGCAGCTTCCACCTCTATGACTGGGGATCACAGGGAGGAATTATTTACACTTAGAAGTATTAACACTGGAATTATTAACATTTAGAACTGGGACCCAGGCCTCTCAGGAGGGTGAAATCCCAAGCTCACGGGTGCTGGTGTCTTTGAAAAAGTATCTCGAAGCTGATTCTGAGAGTGTTGGGAAAACTGGAATCAACTACTGCTACTGAAACCAACTAGAGTGAAGAGACATTGTCAGGGTGACCTTGAGAGGAAAAGGAAAGATGGTCTCTTTTCCAGTCTCCAGGCTTGGGTTCTCCCTCTATTGCCCCCTCCTGGCATAAGGAGCTGGCTGGCAAAGGAAAAATAAGGTTTCTAGGGGTTGCCCCAGCGTCACAACCAGAGTATATGAGAGTGTTTGAGGCTGAGGGACAATGGTTTAATAAGCAGCACAGTAATGCTCTGCTCTTCAGAATTAAGGATTACAGAGTGCATACAAACAAAATAAAACCATGAAGTGCATTGTTTTGTCTGCGGTTATGGTAAAAACATTGATAATTTACATATGAATAGCACTTCACAAGGTCTGCAAAGTGCTTTTGCATATATTATCATTTAGAATTCAGCTGTCAACCTGACCCTGAACTAATCAAAATACAGAGAATAAGAAAAACAAGTCAAAAAGCACTTAAATACATAGGTTAGTAATACTGAACTGAGTTTACTCCTTTTCCACCCATGCCACCCATTCATGCAACTCCCTTCTTTCTGCTTCCCGTTCCTACACATCACTCATCCTCTGTTCGCCAAGTCCTTTCCTTTACTCCGTTTCCCTTCTTGGTCTTACCCTTCCTGAGTCCACCAGACCTAGCTCAGCACCGTCTCCTCCAGCAGGAATTTTGGAGCAGTCCCCCACATCGTCTTCTGCTTCCTGGACCAGGGTGCTTCTCAACCTGAAGCAGTTTTATCCTTCAGGGGCAATTGACAATATCTAGAGGCATTTTTTATTGTTATGACTTAAGGAATACTACTGGCTTCTAATGGGCAGAGGCCAGGGATGCTGCTATACATCCTAAAATGCAAAGGACAGCTCCCCTCCCCACCCGCCAAAATTGTGTGGTCCGAAATGTCAGTAAGGCTGAGGTGGACAAACTCAGTGCTAGGCTAACGGCCCTTGGTCTGTGGTCTCAAGGCACCCACCTGCATACCTCTACCTTTATACATATCCTTTTACAACATTTCATTGAAATCACGTTTGTATTTCTGTCACCTCCTTACTAAACTATAAGCTCTCAGAGAATCAGAGAACAAGGACTAACATTGTGAATGGCACCTAATAAATGCCAAGTAAATATTGAAAAAAAGCCACAGTATCCTTAGACTTTAGCACCTGAATGGAGAGTAGGTAAGTACAGCTCATCGATTCCTTTAATAGAACTGGTAACAGTGGCCAATCGAACCTCGTAATAAGGATATACTCTTACTAGGCATATAACTAGGATGATCACATAATTTATTAAAATCCAGGATAGCCAGGTGTGGTGGCACATACCTGTAGGCCCAGTTACTCAGGAGGCTGACAGGAGGATCATTTGAGCCGAAGAGTTCAAGGCTGCAGTGAGCTATGACTGCACCACTGCACTGCAGTGTGGGCAATGGAATGAAACTCCATCACTTGAAAAAAAAAAGCCAACCAGGATACATTCAAGATTTTTTAAAAGAATGCTATTTATTAATTACCCTAGGACTGAAATTGTCCTGGGTAGCCAGACAGTGTAGTCATTCTACATATAACTGTAATAAGTTTAATTGTCTGGTTCCTTCACACGTAGGGTAAATCAGAAGCAGTAAACAGGTCGAGGAGGGCACTCTCGGCAGAAAGAAGGGACAATATCAGCAAAAGAAGTGACAAATATCACAAAAACAAGATGTTCAAACAGACAAGGCAACCTGGGCCCACTTGGTGTAAGGAACAAAC